TTCCATCTGCCGTCAGGTCTATCCTGACTCATGGTGACCCCAGGTGTGGAACAGAGTGGAACTGCGCCCTGGGTTTTCCGGGCTGTAATCTTTATGGCAGCAGATTGCCAGCCTTTTCTTTCACGTCACGGCACCGCTGGGTGGTTTGAACTGCCGCGCTCTAGGTTAGAAGTCCTGGGGTAAACCCTAGGGACCTGCAGATGGAATTAACAAACCCATTTTCCAGCTTGGGGACGGGGAAAGAGAAAGCGAGAGAGAGGGGCGCACAGAGAGGTTAACCAACTTGCCAAAGACACACAGCTGAAAATGGCTGAGCAGGGGTTCTAATGTCAGCAGGGTGGCTCCGGTGCTCCCAGAGACAGGGGTGTCACATGAATGATGGGTACAGAAGCGGGCAGGTGAACGGAGGGGCGACGAGCCCGGGGGCGGCCCACTCACCTCCACCAGCTGATGCCAGTGTTCTACGGGCTTGCGGGGGTTGGCCAGCATCTCGGCCCAGTGCTCGCGGCCGTGGGGGTCCGCGGCGTCGGGTCCCACGCGGCACACGCCGATGACCTCATTGTGGCCGATGCTGGGGGTCGGGGGGCGGGGTGAGCACGGGAGGGGGGCGGGCCACGCACCCCACCCCCGTCCTGTCCGGGCGCGGCCCCTTACCAGTCATAGTCCACCACGGCGATGCTGAGCCCCACGTTCTCCACGCTCTCGGGGGCCACGTCGAACACGAGCGCCTCGTTGTACGTGGGGTTCAGCGTGTTCTTCTTGATGGAAGTTTTCCGCTTCTTCAGACGCCGCCCCTCGCTGATCAGAGAGGCTTTCACGTAGGGGTCTGGGGGCGGGACAGAGTACTGAGGGCCCCCTACCCTCCTCGGACTGGGAGCCCCGACCCCTACCCCCCTCCCTCGGACCCGGGAGCCCCGACCCCTACCCTCCTCCCTCGGGCCGGGAGCCCTGACCCCATAACTTCCGCCCTCGGACCCGGAAGTCCAGGCCCCCTACCCCCCTCCCTCAGACCCAGGAGTCCTGAGCCCCAGGTTCCTTCCTCCCAAAGACCCAGGCGTCCCCCCCACCCCCCCAGACCTGGAAACCCTGCCCCCGCCCCTTCTCCCCTGGACCCCGGAGTCCTGACCCCAGCCCGCCCCGCAGGCCGCACCTGAGAAGCCCGTGAGGTCCATCGCTTTGAGGTTAGAGGCTTTGATGATGGTCACCGTCAGGCGCCCGGCCGTGGGGAGGTAGCAGAGCGAGAAGTTGAGCTCCCCCAGATCTGCCTTCTCCTGCAGTTGAGGAATGGGGTTCAGTCTCCCCACCCCTGTCATTTCTTCTCCCTGACATCCAGGGCTCAGGCTTCCAAACCCAGTTAACAAGCCAAGTCTGGGCCAAGGCCTGGTAACTCCCCGCCACTGCTGCCCGCTTCCCATCTGCCCTCTGGGCCTGTCAAAGCCTGTTTATTCTGCAGGGAAAATGGGAAGAGACAGAAGGGGCTCGGGAGGGGGAGAAGGGGGGAGAACACAGTGAGAAACAGACTTTGCCAGAGACCAACGCACTGAGACAGAAAGACCACAGACAGAGACCGGAAGCAAGAAAGACAGAGACCCAGAGAGAAGGGGAGCAGAGACTCAGAAAGAGAGGGGGACGGAGACCCAGACAGAGAGGGGCAGGGACCTGGGGGGGACAGAGACCCAGAGAGAAGGGGACAGAGGCCCAGAGAGAGAAGGGGACAGAGGCCCAGAGAGATGGAGACAGACAGACAAAGAGAGCGAGCGAGACAGGCACAGAGGGGAAGGCGCCCCTGCCCCCCAAGCACACTGAGCACCCCTGGTCTCGGGACGCCCCACATTCAGCCCCCAGGCCTGTGCCCAGGCTTCCCAGCTGCGGGGATAACCTTCTCCTCCAAGACTCAGCTTAGCTGTCACGTCTTCCTGCGGGCTCCCCCATCCCCTCAAGCCCCAAGAAGATGCTTCTCTTGTGCGCCCCCGTAACCCTGTTCACGGACAGCCATCCGCACGACAGCTGGGCCAGGACCCCCGAGCACTGTCTGGGGTCTCCAGGTTCCAATTTTAAAAAGAAATCATTGAACGAACTGAATGAATGAGTGAAGACATTGAGTGACAACAACAACAAAAAAACCCATTGTCCTCAAGTCAATTCCGACACCCGGTGGCCCCGTGTGTTACAGAGCAGAGCTGTGCCCCACGGGGTGTCCTGGTCTGTAATCTTTAAGGAAGCAGTTCTCCGGGTCTTTACTCTACGGCGCTGGTGAGTGGGTTTGAACCACCAACCTTATGTCAGCAGCTGATTGCAAACCATTGGCTTCTCTGGTGATGATGAGGGGTGAGAATGAGAAATGACAGATACAAGGAGCGGACAAAGACGGGTGCAGAGAGGCGGCCCTTACATGGGGCTGCCATGGGCAACGGCGGAGACTGGGGAGCTGATTGGAC